AAAATCGTATTCATCGACAGATCGACCAATTTTTTCATCAATCCTTCAAAAACGTTTGAGCAGTACTTCAATCGCACCGCCGATAGTATCGAGATTTCTGGCACTGAAAGGGCACTATATTTAACAGAATTGAGTTTCTATTTGCACTCAATTTACGCCCTTTTGGTTTTGGATGACTACAAGAAGGACTTTTCGGTCATGTTTTTGCATCACATCATAACTACAACTCTGTTGCTGTTGTCATACGGTCTACGGGCGCACACAATTGGCGTACAAGTGCTGCTCTTACACGACAGCACCGATATATTGATGGAGACGTGTAAATGTGTCGGTTGTTTCAAGAATAAGCGCGGCGTTTGGGGACAAGTGTTCANGTCTTAATCCCGAAGACGACTTTGAAAATTGCAATAAAACCGAAACTCGTTTGAGAGACGAATCGCTTTTAGTTCAGAATATTTTCTATAACTTTTCATTCATTCAGTTATTCTTATTCTTCGAATTAGTTTCAACGACAATGACATTCACTCCAGACGTTAAGCTCTTCCTTAATGAACACAGAAATAGTAATTATTATAAGAAATTATTTTTATTTATATAAAATATGTATATTTATATGTTTTATTATCTATAGGCTGGTACAGCACTGGTACTTATTACTGGTCAAAAGCCATCGTTGAATTATTACCAACATTAATTATTACCGTTAGTTTTGTGTTTGTGGTAGATATTTATGATGGTTATAAATATTTTTGGGACTATTTATTTACGCTAAGTTTAGCCACACTTTGTGTGCAAAATATGGGACATATATTAGGCATATATTTCAATAAAAACCTCAAATCTGGTATAATTGCATCGATTCTGTATTATATAATACTTTGTCTATTTAGCAATTATTTGGTTCCCATTCATGAATTACNTTAGCCACACTTTGTGTGCAAAATATGGGACATATATTAGGCATATATTTCAATAAAAACCTCAAATCTGGTATAATTGCATCGATTCTGTATTATATAATACTTTGTCTATTTAGCAATTATTTGGTTCCCATTCATGAATTACATTATAGTCTTCAGTGGTTAAGCAATCTATCGGTCACTAAACTCATATCTGAATGCATTTTAATTAGATTTTACGGTTTTAATCGTTGTATTAAAAGTGAAATTTCGTCAATTATGTACTTTTTTCGACTCCAGAATAGTTTTTATTACAAGAATTATATTTTACTCGTTATTCAATTTGTAACACTTCGGGCATTAGTTTTAATATTACTTTTACTTAAAACTAATTTAAAACTGAATGGAAAGCATAGCACTAATCGTTTGATCTCATTGAGGATTTTTACCCAATTTTACTCGTTATTCAATTTGTAACACTTCGGGCATTAGTTTTAATATTACTTTTACTTAAAACTAATTTAAAACTGAATGGAAAGCATAGCACTAATCGTTTGATCTCATTGAGGATTTTTACCCTAAATATTTTAACTAAAAAGTGGAAAGATATTTATATTATTTAAACAATTAAATATTTCTTATTAATTAATTAAATGATTTATAATTTATTTATATTTAATTTTGTTTAAAGATTTTCTGTTTAAATAATAAATTTTGGTTATTTAAAAATTTTTATTTTAAATAAAATAAAAACAAACATTCATTATAAAAATTAATGCAATTTCTTGTCATCAGAATATTCTCGCAAATCCTTTGGTTCTTTGATATTAATAAGAATTTTAACAATAAATATAAACCAATAGATGTTCATCAAAAATATAGCCCAGAGATAGAAAATCAATATAAATTCAAGTGAATTGGGAGTGAATTTCAAGGCTTCGCTGATCATATGGATTGGGAACAGATATAAGCGACAGACAATCCAAGAGGTCATAAACAAGAGGAACATCACGACTGCAATCGTTTTGAACACTTGTCCCCAAACGCCGCGCTTATTCTTGAAACAACCGACACATTTACACGTCTCCATCAATATATCGGTGCTGTCGTGTAAGAGCAGCACTTGTACGCCAATTGTGTGCGCCCGTAGACCGTATGACAACAGCAACAGAGTTGTAGTTATGATGTGATGCAAAAACATGACCGAAAAGTCCTTCTTGTAGTCATCCAAAACCAAAAGGGCGTAAATTGAGTGCAAATAGAAACTCAATTCTGTTAAATATAGTGTCCTTTCAGTGCCAGAAATCTCGATACTATCGGCGGTGCGATTGAAGTACTGCTCAAACGTTTTTGAAGGATTGATGAAAAAATTGGTCGATCTGTCGATGAATACGATTTTGTGTATTAAATAAAATGCCAGCGAATAGTATAATAAACGCCAAAAGCTTTCGACAAATGTTTGTGTATTCTTATCATTTAATTGATAAAATTTGCAAATATTTTTGAACAACTTTTCCGTCAAAACATTTCTCAATTGAGTCCATATTATAATTAATATTAACACAAGAATCACATCAAATTTGGAGATGTTTTTCGTACATTCTCTCAATTCTGTAAACAAATGTTCAATAAAATTATAATTATTATTGAAATTATTAATATTTGTTTGAATATAATTCAATGAATTTGGGATCAAATTATAATAATGATTAATATATGAAAACATTTTAATAATAGGCTTTTTAACACAGATTAACAATAGATTTTGCGAAATAATTTTGTATTAATAAATAGTTGATTAGTTGTGAAAATTTATACACTGTTTTGAAGGATAAAATATATTTCAGTAGAAATTTTGTTCAGCAATTAAATTAGTTATCAATAAATATAGTGACGAAATGGCTTTCAATTTGTAATAATAATGTTTTCTATACACAGGAATTGAGCAAACAATACAGTATTTTGACACAACACTACAAGTATTTTCAATTAAAATCAATTATTATAATTATTATAGCATTAATAAAATGATGATTACTGACGATTTTTGACGTTTATTTGGCTTAAAATGTCGTCAATTGTAATATATCGTAAAATTACATTCAATTTTTAGGCCATTCATATGTTTTTCAGTTTAGTTTTACTTTAAAATACAAATTTTTAAAATTATGTAATGATAATTGTTTTTTGTGTTAATTATAAAATCTTATTGAAATAAATCAATTAAAGACATTAAAGGGGTAAATAATCTTGAATTTGGCTAAACTTACTTTTTTAAATAATGTATTTATTAATCGGTTATTATTTCGTTTACAAACTCTAATTGGTTTCCAAAAGAAGAGGAAGAAATCTTTTAGAAACAATAAACATGTCTTTTTCACTTCAAACTATTGTGGATTTATTCGAAATATGTCTTTACTTATGGCTCGTTATCATAACAATTGTATCAATAGCTGATCTGATGGGCAGAATTGAATCTCCTTTAAAACATCTGTCAATAAAACATAATTGGAGTAAATTGTGTGCATTGAAAGTGATGGAAAGCAACAAAAACTTATTATGGTTAAATTGTTTCCGAACATTCATGTCCCTGATATTAGTTACAAGTCATGTAACACTTATAGCGTCGGCTCTATTGGAAAAGCATTTCAATAGATTCTATGCCAACCAAACCCTTCATTTGATATTCAGTTTGGGAAATGAGGTATTCTTTCAATGGAGTGGTTTAGTCACTGCCAGAAGTTTTCTCAGACAACACACCAAACGTATGGTTAGTCTCAAGAAGTTCTTTCTCCAAAGGATTTGGAAAATAGTATTATTTCAATATTTAGTCATTTTATTGAGTTTATTATCGGCTAAATATGTGATGAATCCGCGCCTTAAGTTTGATATGAGTCGAGCAAATAATTTAAAAACAATTTTGTTTAACTTCTTATTAATACAAAACTTTGCTGGAATTTATGACATGGTTATTATTATTACAAAACTGCTTTAAATTACATTTTTAACACACATTTTTATTCTCATGACTATTAATATCTAGTTTTCATCATGGACATGGTATATTTGTGCCTTAATACAGTTATCGTTTATTTCTCTACCATTACTACAAATACTTCAAAAGTAATGTATAGTAATAATAACTTACGATTTATTAAACTAAAGTATTGTTCATTAACTTAATATTCAAACTTCACTTAATTATCACAATTTATAGAGATTTGCGATTTGGATTCAAAATAGTCGTCTTTTTAAATATAATAAGCGGTTTAATTGCATTTACAATCATATATTATTTTGATCCGCCAATTGTAGAAGAGATGAAAAATACCGGACCCATAATGAACCCATACATGTAAGTTTGTAATCGGAATGTAATTTTCACTAAACATTTTAATTGCATTTAGGGGCGATAAAAATATGTTTGATTTGGTGTATATGAGCACATGGTGTCGAATGGGGCCTTATTTTAGTGGCTTATATTTGGGAAATGCAATCGAAACCATATATTCAAAACAAACAACAAAAAGTAACCCAAAAATCTTACGTAAAATGGTTAGAAAAGCGGTCATCTGTTTGAGTCTTATGCTTATTCTGTGCATATGTTTGGCAACATTGGAGACCCATTCGGTGCCCTTCTATATCTGTATGGCCTCATACAGACAGGTGTGGGGCGTATGTCTCCACTATTTGGCACTTGTGTTGTACTATTCAAGCGATTATTATCCAAAAGTGTTGGCCTTTTTTGCCCACAGATTCTGGAGATTTGGTCGCGAAATCACGTCAATTGTGAATCTCATTCATCCCATTATATTCATGACTGCAATTGATTTTATCAAAATGGATGAAACGTCTGATTTTTACAATATCTGTGTATTTATATCTCTCATTGTTTTGATATATGTATTATCGCTAGTGTTTTATCTCGTAATACAAATGCCGTTGAATTCATTGTCAAATAATTCAAAAGTAGATAAAAAATGATTGAATTTTAATTACAAATGAATAAATAATTGACAAAATAATACAATTTTACAAATAAAATATATGAATGAAAAACATTGAATGTCAAACACTCGCACCGGCACTCGGCTCCAGGAGTTAACCAGTGGCCAACAGTTTACTCTCCATAATCTCCCTATCGGTGCCGCACTGGTAGTAATGTGGGGCCAATTCTGTGAGCCATTTGCTCTCAATGGGTGTCACGTCTCTCATAAACTGTTGGCTGGTGTGCAGCACCTCATGAAACACAACCCAAGGCGGCGGGCGGGGCATCGTATACAGCACTGACATGGGGTGTATGTGCAGCTCGTGATCGCCCCTAACTGTCCTGTACTGGCCGTTGGGGTGGAGGTACGCGGCGTTGGCGAAAAAGCCACACACAATGGCTCGCCGGACACTGTCCACGTCCTCTGTGGACCGCCACTTAACCCGAAACCTGTTGAGCACCGACACCAACCGGTGCCGCACCTCCACAGCCCGCAACATTGCTTTATAGTTGACGTAATGCCTGTCAGCCCACGACCGCACTTTACCCGCGGCCACGAACTGGTTGTAAACATTTAAATACGTTACGAGATCTCCCTCTTGAACGGCCAGTTCGTGTCGGGCGCGGCGGGCCTGCAGTGCCCGTTGACCGCTGGCCGGCTGTTGCCATATGTTCTGCACTTGAAGTACGGCTGCGATGGTCACGGCTTCGGCGCTACAGCCGTGAGCGACCGACGAGAGCAACATTTTGGCAAACATCGGGTGAAGCGGAAACTCTGCCATTTGGAGGCCCAGGGGTTGTGTTAGGGCACCGGCGGAGTCAAGTGCGCCCAACGCGTACAGCAGGTCCAGTGCTGCGATCACGTGTAAGTCGGGCGGCGGTGACAGGAACTCAAAACGGGCCAAATTGCTGACACCCAGAGCTTTTAACTGCAGCACCGGTAGTGCCAAACACGAGCGCTGAATCTCGGGTACAGTAAAGGGCGGTAATTCGGCAAAAGCCTCCTCAGTGTACAGTCGGTAGGCATTGCCGGCCCGCTCTCTGCCCGCCCGACCGGCGCGCTGTTGGGACGCCGCCTGACTGGTGGGTACAATGACCAGTGAGTCGGTGCCGGCTCTGGAGTTGTAGTGACGCATTTTGACGAACCCGGTGTCAATCACATGAACGACGCCCGGAATGGTTAGGGATGTTTCGGCTATATTAGTGGCCACAACCACTTTGCGTGTGTTGCGGCCAAAACGCTCAAACACTCGCATCTGGTCAGCGGCCGGTAGGGCCGCGTACATCGGCAGTACAAACAGGCGCTTCAGTGACTGGTCGTTGCGCTCGCGGAGGCCACGGGCGTAGTCCAAGAGTATGCCGACAGCCGACTCCACCTCTTCCTGACCGGTGAGGAACACCAATATATCGCCGCTGACAGAGGCGTACCGCTCGTGAATCTTGATAACAGTGGCCACCGATTCCCGTACGTAGTCCGCCACCGGACGCTCGCAGTAGAACACGTCCACCGGATGGCACCGGCCGTCCAGACACAGCACCGTTGCTGTCGACGTCTTAGTGTCCGCCGGATTCGGGTTGTGGTCAAAGTATTGGCGCATTAGTTCGCAGTCAATGGTGGCCGAGGCTATGATGAGCCGTAGTGTCGGCCGTTTGCGGCTAATCTTCTTCAACAGTGCCAACAGTATATCCGTATGAAGTGTCCGCTCGTGTGCCTCATCCACAATGACAGCCCCGTAGGCCGTAAGCAACGGGTCTGACATGAGTTCGTTGACGAGTATGGCTTCGGTGCAGAATTTAACGCGAGTGATGGCCGGACCAGCGGTGAAGTCCTCAAAGCCGATACAATAGCCAACTTCGCGGCCCAATTGGACGCCCATCTCTTCGGCCACCCGAGCGGCCAACGTTACGGCCGCCACTCGACGCGGTTCAGTCACCGCTACCATTGGTTGCTTGTTATCGGTCTCGCCATCCGTCCACTGGTGGCAAAGTTTGGACACTATTTGGGGTAATTGAGTGGACTTTCCCGATCCGGTCTCCGCCACAATCACAAGCGTCTGGTGTTTGGACAACAAGTACTCGATGTGATCGCGAAACTGATGCCAAGAAATACAAAATACAATACAAACACGTGATTATGACTGAAGTGGTCTTTGGGCAGAAGTGGCCGATCGTGTGATACCTTATTGACGGGCAGTCGTGACCTCTGGTCGTCGGCCGACAGATAGCGGTCAGAGACGGACGTATCGGAGCGGCGGCTGTACACCAAAGAAGAGCCACCGATCGTACCCTCAGTGGTGGCCAACTCTTCTGACCGATCGGCAGACAGGTCTGCAAACTTGCCCACGGCTTCGGGTCCTGAGAGGGATACAGATATACATGTATTAGTGGTCGCGAAGACATTCATCGAGATATCAATGACTTGTTTGCGGCGAAAGAACATACTTTTGAATGACATGTCTCTCAAAACACGTGTTGTTTTGGGTTTTAAATAATTTTATGATTCACTTCACTATGAGTTCAAACTTATGGCATGTTTTCAATGAATTAATTCACAATTTCTTATAAATGAGTCAATCATTGAATTATGAAAACAATTAATAAAACGATTTAAAAGTTTAGTTTTGTTTACGTTTGAAAAGTGTTTGCAATTGGAAATGAAGGCATAAATTACGTTATTTTACAAATAGTTGTATTAATAATAAGTTTGTTATAAAAATGTTGAGTCTTGTTAATAAAGTTAACTTAATATGTTTTAATTGTTAAACCATTGATTAAAAATTTATAATCATGCTTATCTTACATGCTTACAGTTAAGTGCATTCATTTGTTTAAAAATAGGATGGGTTTATAAAATGAAGACCAGGGATAGCTTATGGATATATCTTATATCTATTCTAAAATTAATAGAAATGATAATTCTGTATATTATTAATATTTAATAGCGATTCCAGATGATTTGTGAATTAATAATATTGTTCATAAATTTAACCATACGATGCAGATTAACCCCGTTTTGGAGTATAGGTTTGGTATAATGTTTATAACATAAGTTTGGATTCTATGTTAATTTCTATAGGATGAGTTACATCAAAATTTTTAATTAAACAATATTCATGTAATTTTATCATTTTAAAACAATTATTAGTGAATTAATATGTATAAACGCATGTATTGATTACATGATTATTTTGTTCAATTAATCGTAAATTTTTTTATCACTTTTAGCGTCAAATTATTGTATTTATTAAAATAATTTCCTATTTCTACAAATAAACTAATATTTCAATAGAAATGTTATTTTTTATCATTTTAATTTAAAATAAGCTACAAAGTTTTCAATAATGAATAATTGTACTGTTTATTCTTATATAAGCTTATAAACTCATTACTAATATTTAATTAAATAATATTTTTAAATTTTGCTTATGTTTATAAACTTGTATTTTATTTGAATATTAAAAATAGTTTTAATAAATAAGATTAAGAAATGTCATTTCCAATTGAAGCCATTGTAAACACATTTGAAATATGCTTATACTTGTGGTTAATGATTGTATTATGTGTTTCAATTGTCAATGAATTGGGATTAATTGGGCACAAAAGTCCTCTCAAATGCCTCTCATTAGCAGACAATTGGCGCCAATTATACGTCAACTCTAATGAAAAAGTGGACACAAATCCAAACTTATTGTTTATGAATCCATTGCGAGTACTTTTATCCATAATGTTAATCATAATCCATATGTCGCTCATCACAACAGGACTATTACCCCGATATTTCCGCTCACTTCACGCCAATTCAAAACTACATCTCATAACAAGTATAGGAAACGACGTGNATTACCCCGATATTTCCGCTCACTTCACGCCAATTCAAAACTACATCTCATAACAAGTATAGGAAACGACGTGTTCTTCGTATTGAGTGGTTTAGTGACCGCAAGAAGTTTCTTACGACAGTTTTCTTCTCTCAAAACCGTTAGCTTTCAAAATATGAAAAGTTTTTTTCTCAAACGTTTTTACCGAATAGTATTTGCACTCTATTTGATAATACTGTTGAGTCTATTATCGGCTAAATATATATCAAATCCTCGCCTTAAGTTTGATTTAAATCGTGCCAAAAGTTGGAAATATTTTTTACTTAATTTTTTATTCTTACAAAATTTTTCCGGCATTTATAATATGGTAAGTGTTTTATGAAAAATCAATATTTTCCAAAAAGTGTTGCTTTTATTAGCATTAGCATAAAGTATTAACCCAATTATGTGTCCTGGATTAGTTTGCACCCTTAACATGGTATATCTATGTTCTTTTGCATCTACTACTGCTGACCCTACCTGTGCTCAAAATACTAAAAATGTAAGTTTTTAATTATTAAATTTTTAGCTTTATTTAATAATCTTTAGTTAATTTGTAGAAATGAAAACATTGGACAAAAAATTCTGCTGTTTTTAAATATAATAAGTGGTTTCAGAATATTCTATATTTTATATTATATAAAACCAGTGATTCTACAGAATATGCAGCCAATCGGACCCATAATGAATCCAGATTTGTATGTTTTAATATTTGTTGCAAATACAGCTTATTTTAATAATATGTTTATATATTCAGCGGAGAGAATAACTTATTTGATATGATTTATATGAACACGTGGTGCCGAATGGGACCGTATTTTGTTGGTCTATATTTAGGACACAGTATTGAAAAGTATTCACATAAAGAGTACAGAAGAGAGAATTTAAAGCAAATACTATTGTTTAAGAAACTATTGTCTTATTTAGCCATTTTGGTTATTTTATTGTCAACTATTGGTCTCTTGGAAACAACATCTTTGTGGTCGTGTATAGCACTGGCCAGTTATCGCCAGATATGGGCGCTCTGTCTTTATTACATACTTTTGATGATATATAATATTGATAATCAAAAAGTGATGGATATCTGCGGCCATAGGTATTGGAAACCGTTTCGCGAGATAACAACGACTGTGAATCTCATTCATCCGATATTTTTCACGACTATAATAGACGTCATAAACATTGAGGACATGTCAGATGTGAACATATTTTTCACATTTATTTTATTAATTCCGGTTATTTTTTTCCTGTCATTAATGTTGTATTTAATGATAGAAATGCCTATCAATTCACTGCTCACAC